CAAACTAACTAAAGAAATCCAGGGAAAAGAAGAATCAGAATTCTACCAGATATGGGATAAATGATAAAGATGGATGGAGGAAAGAAACAAAAATCAATGAAGGAATATAACAAAATTCAAAAAATAATAGTTATGTGTAAAATAAGAAGGTTAAGAATGGTGAAATCCAAATGAAATAGAATAGAAGGAGAAATAATATAAGGTGAGCGGTATCGATTGATGATTGCTATTATAAAGAACAGGAGGTTCCTGTTCGTATTGTATAAATGTGCTGTACATCTAAATTTTGTGTGTGGGTATTTTACATGTTTGTTAATAAAAATCTTTTTTAAAAATGCCATAAAATTAAAAATCGTGCACATGTTGAAACGAAGGTAAATTAGGAACAGACCAGTCTGAAACATCTGGTGCAATTCAGGAATCCTAATCAAACCATCTCAGACAGTTGCTACTTCGCCTCGGCTTCAACACATCTGGGAAGCTCTCATAGTAATTATTTCCACTGTCAAACTGCCTGAGTTACTGAGAGCTGAAACTTTATGTAACCTGGCTGTACTGCCTTGAAGTCTTAACCATCCCTGTAAACTATCATCCTTATAATTCAAGCAGCCAAAACGCTGAAGGTAACTATGAAAAGTTCATTACTCTGATCCATGGCTTGTTAAAACAACTGGTAAAAGTAGTAATTGTATACTCTTTCTAGTAACTAGGCCAGGTGATAGCCAACTTCAAATCCAATTCCTTGAGAACTGATTAATAGAGAAGTCTGGTTTCAGAAGTTAAACGATGGATCAGAAGAACTTAAAGTACCTTAGAAGAGTGGTAGTATTCAGCTGGTTCAGACTGGGTTTGGGTGAACTGGTAAAGGCCTATCCGCCCGGCACAATCCCATCCTATATCGCTGTGTTTTTGACATTGCACGCATATGTGGATGGTGTGCATGAGCGAAATGCACGCATGTGCGAATGGCACGTGCATGTGAGCGAAGCATTCATTTGCGCATGCACACTCACAATTCCGGTGCTGGGCAAACCGGTAGTAACAGTAAATGAATCCCATCTCTGATCTAGAAGATTTCAGTTTGGAGCTGAATACTATTCAAAAACCAAAGATACTATATTCAGGTCCAAACTACTCCCAGCCCAAGACCAAACTCATGGTGATCTTAGTATACATCATAAAAATTACTATAAATTCTGAACTGATTGCAAGTACTGCATTTTCTGAAATGGAGATAGTAAGGTCAATATCCTGACTGTATTTATAATTATTCAGAGGAACGTAAACAATGCTTCAGTAATATATTTCTCAAAAGTTATAGATTGCTTTAGTTAAGATTGAGAAGAAAAACTCTGCATGATATCCTGTTCAGTTTTCAAAAACATCTAATTTCATAATTGTTATTCATAGGATTCTTGATTGATTAGTTTTGCTGCAAACAATGTATTGGACCATTAGAAACTGATAAGGAAACAATGAAAGAAGAGTGATCTCTATTGGTTTGGTAACAATGATAAGAAAGCACTTTATTAATTAAATGTGGGTTTGACTTTAATGCAATAAATAATGCTGCTACCATGTTTGTCCCTATTGGTGTGCATGCTTGTGCATTACACATATTCCACTTTACAATCCTCTTCTACAGATTAAAAATAGTTAAATTGAATTTAGTGATCAATATCCTTGATTAATCCACCTATCTCTGGATCAGTGAAACTAAAGGTGGATTAAACTCTTGGGCAAAGGGGATTAAAGCAAATATAAAGGGTTTCATCATTTAGACCTAATCTAGCATTTAAAAAAAAATAACCACAGCATTATTAATATCATGTCTAGTATGTAGTTCTCAAGCTCATCCCATGTATACATTAATTCAATACAGATAGTCCTCGACTTATAACAGTTCATTTAGAGACCATTCAAAGTTACAACAGCACTGAAAAAAATGACTCATCACCATTTTTCAGTTACATTTTTTTGCAGCATCCCCATGATCATGTGATCAAAATTCAGGCGCTTGGCAACTGGTTCATATTTATGATGGTTGCAGTGTGCCAAGGTCACATGATCACCTTTTGCAACCTTCTGACAAGCAAAGTCAATGGGAAAACCAGATTCACTTAACAAGATGTTTATTAACTTACCAGCTGCAGTGACTCAATAACTATGGCAAGAAAGGTCATAAAATGAGCAAAACTCAATAAATGTCTCACTTAACAGTAGAAATATTGGTCATAAGTCAAGGACTATGTGTAATTGCTGTTGAGGTAATAAATATCAATTACCAGATATAACCAACTTTCCTCTGGTTTTCATATCCTTAGGTTGGTGGAGTTGATTAGATATCATACCAAAGTAAAAGAAAGGAAATGAAAGTAATCCATCAGACTTTTTTCTAGTTTAGTTCTCTGGTTTAACCATACACCTTTTCCTGAAAATTAGTCAGTTTAGTACTCAATTAGTCATACTCTTCTGCAGATAGAGGATAATATATAATGTAAAATGTGTTTATGTGTATGTGCATGCTTGTGTGTGTTTGTATGAGTGTGTATTTTGTGTAAAATCACAAACATACTTTAGAATCAGACCTGGGTAGCTTTTATTCTGATGGCATTTAGGAAGGACTTACAAACTTGACTTTTCCAGGCCTTGGGGCAGGTTAGAAGGGGAGTGATTGTTTTAAAGTTGTTGTTTACATATTTCCAATGTGTTGAGTTTTTTAATTTAAATTTTAAAATTCAATTCAAATTTAATTAAAAATTGAATTTTAAAATTTATGTTATTTTACTTCAATTCTGCTTTAGAATCTGAGTTGCCTGCTCAGAATCATACTAATGTTGGGAAGCGCCAAACTAAAATTAAATAAAAAATTAAACACATATAAACAGTACAATATGACTGAAACTTCTAGTAAATTACTTAAAAAAGGTAAATCAACATCATATATATTGCCTTTGGCTTCATGCTTGTGCAAGCAAAGTGTGATCAGAGCTGCCGTCCTTCTATAAATATTGTGGGGTGGGTGTGTGGAGTGCTGGCTGTAAGTGGGTTGGTTGGCTGTGTTGTTGCATCTTGATTAGTTGATGGAATTGATGTATGCAGATTAGTCAGCTGTCAACACCCTGTATGGCTGAGGTACTAGCTGTGTGCCCATTAGTTTTTTGTGTTGTAACGACCTGGATAGTGGGCTGTGTGATGACACCCTGAGCTCTAGTGTAGTGATATCCTGAGTCCTGTGCTGCAACATCCTGGGAGGTTGGCTGCGTTGTAACATCCTGAGCCTTTGCATTGTAACCTCCTGAGTTCTGTGATGTAATATCCTGAGCAGATGGCTGTGATGTAACATCCCGGGCTTTGGTTTGGCTCCGAGTTTGNGGTTGTAAGCCGACGACTACCTGTTCATCATCTTGTAATTGGAGAGTCAGGTTTTAGGTTTAGTCGCAGGTATCCGTGCAAAATACATATTTTCTAGTTAGCATTAATTATTTCATATCACAGAATCATTAATTACTTAGAACAGAAAAACTCTTAATGTTTTGCCCTAAAGCAGGGGTGTCAAACTTGATTTCATTGGGGACTGTATCAGGGCTGTTTGACTTTGGGGGGGCTGGAGTAGGCGTGGCCAGGGTGGGCATGGCCAGATTAATGTCACTTATGTTGGGGGCGCCTGTGGCAGCCCAAGCACTTTGCCAGAGAAAATGGGCTCTTGAGCTCCATTTTCTTTGGCAGAAGCACTGTGGACCAGTTCTTTGCTATGTTTGGGGCGGCCCCACGGGCAAGATTTAAGCATCCTGTGTGCTGGATCCTGCCCTCGGGCCTTGAGTTTGACACCCCTGCCTTACAGCTTATATTTTATGCTTGTGAATGAACTTGCTATGATAAATGAACTATGATAAAAGATTTAAAAACCTCAGACTAGTTTGAATATTCTATCCAATGAATTAATGTGACCCTCTTGTTTCATTATGATTGTACTTACTAGAAATGTATTTCCACAGTGTCCACACACTACTCTGGTGCCTTCTGGCTGAGCAGGTATTGCAGGCTGTGCTGGCTGCTCCTCTGGAATAAGCATTACTGGACCAAGATTAATGATGCGTCTACTGTCAGAAGTAAAGATGTCATATCATATCAGAAAAAAAAAGAGAAAAAAATTCTTTCATCATCTAGTATCCTTTCTACAAAGAAAACTCATTGGCTCAATTGCACCAAACACAAAGACAGTCAGGTAAACTGGTATCAATCTCTGTGAAATAATCAAAGTTTAGAAATATAAGCTTATCTTCAAATGAATAAAAAATGCCATATTGAATTAGACAAATGGAAAAAATTGNACTACCAGTAGCAAAGAAACTGCATTTTCCCCTCAACTAGCATAGCCCCTGCAATCATTCTTTTAAACCTCTTAATGTCTTGGGGGTCCCTTAACAGCACTGCTTCAATTAACCCTTAAATGCATTATGAGAAAATTGACGGGAACTTGAGTGCAGGGAGGAACAGTCATATCAGTGAGCAGGTGCTTCGGGCAGCTGCAGATGGCACCCCCTTCAGCAAAATGAGAGGAGGAGAGGAAATTGGAGCTGCCTGGTTTCCATCTGGAAGGATGGCGGAATGACTACATTGTTCTTGCCCCTTCTGGGATGCATGAGGGAGGATCCTGCTCTTCCTGCCTCCATTGCCTTTGCATTAAACACACTATGAAATAATGTTATCAAGAGCCTACAACAGGGATGACAATGTCTATGACACAGGCGTCAACAGTGACACCTACAATGTTTCGGGTGACCTACCAGCATTCACCAACACCCAACAACACTTATTCCCGAAAACACAACCCATTTTTGCACAATTTGAGGAGGGTGCATGAGAATGGGCTGTGGGTTCTCATGCAACCTCGAGACAACCCCCTCCAAAGTCATGTGAAACAGCTGTGCTCTCACATGATCGCTGGAGTTTAGGAGGCTCCAGAGGCCACGGAAGAGCATTCTACAAAGATGCTTTAAGAAACAAGGTCTCATAAGACCCAGAGCTTTCTTGGGTAGGTCCCAGGGACCTGTCAATAGAAGGAGATCAAAACCTGAACACATGATTGGATTGTACATTTTATAAAATAAAATAATATGTACGGTAAACAATTGTTTCTCTCTTGTTTTGGAGCGGGCATTGTGACATGCCAGCAAAATCAACGGAGGCATTTTCTGAATCTTTGGCATGCTAAGCCCAAAAGGTTTGCTATCACAGACCAACAATCATTGCTTAAAGCTGCTATATTTCATCTCATCCACCAAAAATGTAAAATAAATGGCCTAGGAAATAGCTTAATCTGCCTCCCATATTCTTCCCATTTGAGATTTCTGGAACTCGACAATTGGCACAAATGGATACTATTTTCTATTGTTCTAGGGCAGTGGTTCTCAACCTGTGGGTCAGGACCCCTTTGGGGGTCAAACGACCCTTTCACCAGGGTCGCCTAAGTCCATCAGAAAACACATATTTTCGATGGTCTTAGGAACCGAGACACCAATTTTATGGTTGGGGGTCACCACAACATAAGGAACTGTATTAAAGGGTCGCGGCATTGGGAAGGTTGAGAACCACTGTTCTAGAGGAACATATGCATGAAATGCAAGTTAAATCTCTAAACAAGATTTATTCCTAAACTAGATTTATTCATTACTTTTAAGAAACCCAAGAATATTTGGTCCTGCTCACACACATATTCTATCATGTCTACTTTGCATCTTTATTCCAGTCATTATGAATTTTCTACCGCCACCCTAAATCAGCAGTAGCAACCACCAAAAGTAGTCCAAAATAATGAATCCATCTCAGAAAAGCAAAGGGATATTTTCATAGTGAAATATTGAGCTTCATATACAGTATGTAAGCATTCTAAGTACATGAATGTAAAAGCAAACAAAATAAAAAGTGTGGTTTTACAGGAAAAATGACAATGACACACATATTATGAAGTGAAAATATTTAAAAATATTTATCTCTAGATAACTCCCCCCCCCCAACAAAGAGACGCTCTGTTTGCCCTTAAAACCTGCCTTTTTCTCCAGGGATTAGGCTTCAGTGGAGTGAGGGTGTGTCCCCTTTTGGTTGTTTTTACTGTTGTGTTCCTTCACCATTTTGTATTTGGAATTTATATTGTATATAGCACATATTCACATATTAATTATGTGAATCTTTTGTTTTTCTGATGTACACCATCTAGTCACATTGTTTGCCTTATAAATCCAGTACAGTAAATTGATCAATAAAACAAATATATGATATACAGTATATCTATACAATGCCCATACTTGGGAATAAATCCAAGAACTACAATGCCTTTCCAGGGATATTTTGACCAAAGGAAATTAACCCAGTAAACCCAGCCTTTTGCACTTTCAATTGTTCTCAGATTTCAGGCTAGACACAGCAATAAATCTCAGTGCTCCAAAAACTTAACCCCTGAAAGTGCAGTAACTAAGTAACAGAAGAAGCTTCTTCACAGATTTGATCCTGCTAGATATATTGCTTTACAAGGGTAAAGATTCATTCTCTGAGCTTGAGGGGTGATTTAAGAATGTTTTGTTACCAGATTAAGTCACATCTTCAATTTTTCCAAGATGTTATCTAGCCTGGTGATGAAACGTTTGGAAACCAACCCACAAACTCAGAGAATGAACCTTCCTACATCTGAGCTACAGATATTTGCCATTGTCGCATATTGTTTTATTGCAGATAAGAAAGTAGTGGTATCTACCCAGGAAATCAGCTTACCTCAGAAGGTAGGAATCAAGGTATTTTCCTCCTACTTTTCAATTCTAGAGACTATCTCAGTACTTCTTAACTTCAGTGCCTTTAAGATTGTGGATTTCAGCTTCCACAATTTCCCTGCTTGTGTAGGTTGTCTGTGCAATTTTAGGAGTTGAAGTCCACACATATCTTAAAGGTGCCAAGGATGAGAAACAATGGACTGTCTGACTGTTTCCTGGTCTGCCTCACCAGGGTCAGCACTTACATAGATTCAATGATGCACCAGCTATATGATACCACTACCAGATGTGGCTATTGCGCTTATTAAATACAAATACTTCATAGTGAGATCTGTAGATCATTGAATGTGCACGAAAACTATAGTTTTTCTACTAAGAAATTCATTTGTTATCTGCATAGCCATGAATAGGTGATGAGTAATAATATTATTACTGAATTTAAACTGATGCATCTTTCATTTGCATGATGTTCATAAATGTAACTCTGTGTAACTAATTAAGACGATTATCTTCCAGGTTTGGGAAAAAGCATCTTGCTGCAGGAGATACGATTATCTTCCAGGTTTGGGAAAGAGCATCTTGCTGTAGGAGATAGGCTTCAGGTTACTCATAGCTTATGTAGGAGTGCATCTGTGGAAAAATATTTGGCAACTTTCACCTTCCTCGACATTTAAATTTTAAGGGTAGATTACTGTTTCTTTATACCTTTAGTCAAGCCTGATAAATTAAGCTACACTTACAATTAGAGCAGTGATCACAATATTCCATAGCATCTGTTAACACACAGGTAAAAATACTGAAGTAGCCAGCCTTAAAAAAAACAATACATAGCTAAAGTGCAAGCTGGCCCTCGGCTATGCAAGAGGTAGGGTGTGCTTCAACGCAGACATAATTTCAAAGAATAATCCACCAATGTGCCTGCCTATAGGATCAGTACAGAAACTAAAGAGACAGAAACCATATCACCCAGTGACCTGATAAATAATGTTGTATCCTTGCCAAGAATATCTTCTCAGTGATTTTGATCACTGGCTTTAATCTCTACTGCCCAGCAAATGATTTAAAGATTGCTTTGTGCTCATTACCATGGGGAACAACAAAAAGTCATCTGGACAGCCATCAACCATATCTTTTTTAGCTCTTTTAAGTAAGCCAACAGTGTCTGGATTCACAAAAAGCATTAAGCCAACAAGTGTGTTTAGCAGGATACAGTGGCTAGATGAGGCTAACATATTAAGCCAGGGGTGTCAAATTCTACGGCCAGATCTGGCCAATGGTGTGCTTAGATCTGGCCTACGGAGCTGCCCTGGAAACAGTGAAGGACCGACCTGTGGTGTCTCTGCCCACAAAATGGAGCTTGGGGGGGGGGGTTCCCAGGTTCCATTTTCGGTTGTGACAGCCTCCTGCAACCCTCTTCCAGTGAAACAGAGCCTGAGGAGGCTGTCACGGCTGAAAACGGAACCTTGATGAGTGATATCAAACTGGCCACACCCATGCCCATCCTGGCCACACACACTCGGCCCGCTGAGGTCAAACACAATTCTGATGTGGCCTTCAATGAAATTGAGTTTGGCACCCCTGTATTAAGCCACACCCAAACACATTACAGTAATGATCTCATTGTCAGCCCTTCATGATAGATCAGGCCAACAAACAGACCCTGTTGGGATTTCAGGAAAGCTCTTTATTGTACTTAGGTAAAATAGCGCAGTCTTGAAAGCCTGTCTAAGATCCCTCTCTATCCAGCTTATACTAAACAAAATAAAGGGGGAATTATTTAGAGTTTCTTTCTCATTCTTTCTTTTTCTGGACTATGTAATCTTTTATGCAAATCCCCCTTAACAACTGGCTCATTCCTGAAGGTCAACCTTACATTCCTTCATACTTAGCCACCAAATCTACTCAGTGCTAAGGCTGTATGAAGTTTCAAATGTTAATTTGAAGGTGTTTTGACTGAATAATTTCTTCAAATTAAAATGAATCAAATATAGTATGACTCAAATAACCTGAAGGATTTCTGCCGTGCATAGTTTCACTGAACTGAATTTTATCAATCTAGTTTGATGATTTCAGCCAACTTCATTCTTCAAATAAAATCCCTCGTTCAAGCTGGGCCAATGATTCACACTGTAATCTGCTCAATCCACAAAACCCTATTAGTAGGTCCCATTCTCATGGTACCATACCTGTAGCTATCAGTAGGCTCTCTATTTGAACAAAAGAAAGCCTTGAACACTATTACAAGGCAAAACTAATTATAGCTACAACATCATATGAAAAGAGACAATGGATTGACATCTATTTGTCCATTTCCACACACTTTCATTACAATATTAGTAATCCCATTATTAGAGCACACCAAGATAATGCTGCTACGATTAAAGCAAGTTCCAAATAACTAGAAATAATTACAGAAAAAGCATGGCATCAGCCAAGATGTTGTCGAGCAAAGGAAGGACTCTTCAATACTAGAACTTCCTGCAAGAATTCCTACATTTTATTTTAGCAGATTTCAATTATTGCTTTTAATGAATTGTGTTGGTCTTAAAAAAATATCATCTATCCAGGTCCAAGAAATATGCTTCCTCTGAAGCTGTGCCTGCCTTTTGGAATGGGGTTTCCAACATTCCCCCTCCCCCCCAAGATCTTTAACAATCTTTATTGTTCATCTTTTATTCATTTTATTATAACTTCTTTGATGATGTGAACTGTTCATAGTTGAGAGTTGGTAGCCTACAAGATGATGATGATCATCTGAGCCTGAAACTGAGAACTATGCATTACAGGGTTAGGGTTAGGGTTAGGGTTAGGGTTAGTAAACTTGTAAACCAGTTCCAGAAGAAATGGGTCTGAGTTTTATTAGAAAGAACATTTTCTGTGCTACTAGGGAAGGGTTTACCTTCCCATTTGTATTTTCCTTCGAGTTCTACCCTCTGCTCAGTTTCTCAAATAATGAACTTTTGCTCTGTAAATATTCCCCAATGTGGATTCATCTTTGTGTTATGACAATAAATAAAAAGCTGTGACCAATAATTAATCATTATCAGCCTTTGCTTCTAGAGAGGTCAGGACATTTTGATCTTTCTTGCCAGGGGAAACACATGGGCAAAGTCACATGGATTGCAACAAGCAAAGGCTTTTTGTAGCTTTCTACAGTCTTTCTGGGCTGTGGAATATATTAAGCCAAGGCAAAAAAAAAAAGTTGAAGCAAAACTGGTTACGAAAATCAAAAATGGAGCAACATCAAAGAAGAAGAAAAAGAGATAATCCTCTTAGAGCATTCCAAGATTATGTAGGCTTCCCTCAAAAGGCTCATGCGGTTTTATATTTCTGGTCTCAGTTCCCAATTCCAAGAAGAGAAGCATGAAAGCTTCTGGGAGTAAGATATGGCTTCTATCTAGTCTTTTTCCTTCTTTCCTTCCTTCCTTCCTTCTCCTTTTTATTCTGATCATTCCCGACATGATCAACTCTTTTTGCTCTGCTAAAATGCATTTTTCTGATTTGTTGTGTTGTAGAATACCAGAGCATGTGATAAATTTATGATTTGTTGTATGCAGGTAGTCCTTGACTTACAACTATTTGTTCAGTGACCATTCAAAGTTACAACAGCATTGAAAAAACTTACAACCATTGCAGTATCCTTATAGTCAGCCGATCAAAATTTGGTCGCTTGGCAACTGGGACATGTTTATAATAGTTGTAGCATCCTGGGGTCATGTGATCATCATTCACAACCTTCCCAGAGTGCTTCTGGAAAGCATAGTCAATGGGAGAAGTCTGATTCCCTTAAGCCTGATTGACTTAACAACCATCTTGTTTAACAATGGAAATTCTGATCCCAACTGTTGTTGTAAGTCAAGGACAACAATGAAACCTGGTCATTGGGCTCATGGGTAACTTCAACTGCTCGTAGTTTACAACTAACTAATATGGAGGAACAAGGGACGCAGTGACTCAGTGGCTAAGATGCTGACCTTGTCAGTCAGGCAGGTTGCCATTTCGGTGGTTCAAATTCCTAGTGCTGCGTAACGGACTGAGCTCCCTGAGCTCCCGTTACTTGTCCCAGCTTCTGCCAATCTAGCAGTTTGAAAACATGTAAAAATGCAAGTAGAAAAATAGGAACCACCTTTGGTGGGAAGATAACAGCTTTTCGTGCGCCTCTGGCGTTTAGTCATGCCGGCCACATGACCACATAAACTTTTTCGGACAGCGCTGGCTCTTCGGCTTTGAAACTGAGATGAGCACTACCCCCTAGAGTTGTGAACAACTAGCACATATGTNATATTCTAATTTTTCGAGTTTCACCTGTAAATGAAACAAACAAAATATTAAAAAGTTATGATATTTATGTAGTTACTTAACAAGCACATCTCAATTATATTAAAGTAACCAAAATATCTTTATAATCCCCAAGGCAAGTCATAACTTTTGAACACCTCTAATATTTGGAAATTGAAAGTTGAAAAATTTGACATGCCCCAAATTGCATTCTTGATTACCATAAACTGCATGTTATAGAATGAGAAACTTGTAAATCCATTTACCGTAGCTTCATTGCAGTCTGTGCATTTGACCACATGTTGGTGAAGCTTCCCTTCCAAATGAATTGCTGACTGGCACACACGGCAATTAATTATAGGAATAGCAGTGGCATCTGGGCTAGCAATGGCAGTGTAAGGTGGCGGGAGTTCTGCTATAGAAAGAAAAGACATGTTTGTGACAAAGCATCTAAAAGTCATTCACACAATGAATACAGAACTAATAGCTCATATGCCCTTGCAGTTAATTCAACCATCCTTTCATTCAAAGAATCATCCACCTTAATACTCAAGTGCCATTGTTTCAGGATACATTATCTGTAAAAAAAAAGTCAGAAATTTCCAAGTTGAAACACATATGAATATACAAATAATTTTAAAGAGGAACATTCGATTGAAATCAAAACTTTTCCTGTTGCCATTAATGGATAGTCAATTAGGAAAGAGCCCTGGAAGAATGTTTTTATATATGAGGCCAGAATATTATATGTGCAGAAATGGAAAATTTTGAAATACTCAGAATGAAGTAAAGATTGGTGAAGATGACAGAACTAGGAGAGATGCCAAAATTAACTTGATTAGAGAAGGATTTACATTTATCAGTGCCTGGACATCCCTTATGATTTTTTTGCAGAAAAAAAGAGAAAAATGAACTTGTGATTTATGGGTTTGAAGATTAGAAAGGGTAGCTTATGGAAAGAAAGAACATCCTGATATAGCTTTAGAGAAAAAAGGCAAAATATAAATATAACTGCTGCCCAGAAGTCGATAGCCACTTCTTTATAAGCTTTTCTGAAAAGCTACCATTTGTCAAAAAACATTCAGTACCTGATACCTCTAATAAAATAAACTCCAGGCAATTCTAGTCCTTATTAACAGATATCAAAATTAGAAAAAACAGCTGTATCATACCAGTTTTGCAACTCTGAAGTAACGTGTGTCTAAATCTGGGTTTAGATCTGAAATTAATATTCTGCATCAATATCACTTGTAGCCCTAGTTTGTATCGAGGACAAAATGATTGCAATGAAAAATGCATTATTTTATCTATTAGTAGAGACAATGCTCAACAAACACAGTAATTAGCTGGTGGTATACAGAAAAGGACTAACTTGGCTTGCTTCCTTTTAGCCTTGGATTTCAGAAGGTGACATATGCCCAAAGAATCCCTTTGAGCTAAATTTGCAAAATACTTTAAAATTACATATGCCTTTGCACTTTTAAATATGCAAAGAAAGGATTTGGCCCAAGAAGGATGTGTTTCTCACACACACACATTCTCCTCTCCAACAGATGGCAGACGAATTTAAACCCAGGCTATCATCCCAATTCTTATTTTTACAGACTTGCTGAGTTCATTGGATTACTGTTTGCTTTCCTGAGCTGGACTCAAATATTTGCTGGCTCTTTGAAATGTCTATTAATTAAAATTCAAGAAAATCAGTTGGAGATCTTTAATTTCAATCAAATCTTTTCTGGTTTGTAGATATGACAACTGTGTCCAACAGTTCCATCAAGCAAAATTTGAGGAGCTCCGTTAAGGTCCCTTTCTTTCTTTGACTCAGATAGGAAATAATAGTTTCATTTTGGGAAAAGAGTGTAAAGAAACAAAAATGTTCTCTTAGCATATTGCCCTGCCATTTCCCTCACTGTGCTTTTTTTTAGTAATTTTTCCCCCAACTGTAGATACATCTAGAATTTAAGAAAGCATTCTGAACTGCAATAAAGATTTGCCATCATGGAAGTGATGACTTGGTCAGACATGAAATGTTACACAAGATTTTTTCCTCTTCTCTGTTCACTTGTGTGTGTACACATGGATGAACTTCATATAGTCTCGCTCTCTCACATACACACACATATCTTCCATTACAAGCACCGTCGGTGTTGAAATATCAGACTTTTTGAGTAAAGGGCAAAGCTATCAACATCTGAGCTCTGGTGCTTATAAACTGAGCCAGTTTGAAATAATTAAAAACGGTTAATTTTAAAAATGACAAGTTGGAAGGCCTTAGCTCGGACAGAAAGCTGCTGGCTCCATCTCATCTACTGCTACAAGATATAAAGAATGCCATTGAAAACAACAGTTTCACTTGGTTTTATGACTCAAAGGCCGATTATAAACCCAAGCATAGGATTAGTTCAAAAGTAAGGAATCTTGTGACCATCATTTAAAGAGGAAATAAACTTTTGAGAGGCTCCTAAGTTAGTAGTATTTCAAAGGAATTCCCTGGGATAAACCAATAAACGTAAGTTACTCCGTTTCCAGTATTTATACATCAAGATTTGTTCCTACATTGCAAAATATTTACACTGTCGGACAACACATAGTACTAGCAGCTGTGGAAATGTTTATTCCTATTTCCCAGTCATTTCCAAAAGGCCTCATTTCCGCAAGTCTCATATGTCCTTAGAGCAATAAGCTTCAAGCTATCTTCCTAGTACTGGTGTATGCACAGATTTATAGCCCCTTCTTGACGTCAGTCACATTTCCAGAAATAAATGGAGAATTCAGTGAAGGAAAAGAAAAACAGAACTTCTTCTAGCCTTTAGACCTTAGAGCCAAGAAAGCGTGTGGAACACTTTCATGATCATAAGTCAAGGAGAGTAGAGTCTTATTTAGCACTTCAAGACATATGGAAGATTTGCTGTTATAAAACTTATATTCTCTTTGGCTTCACACTCACAAAAACCAACATTGATCCATAGAATATCACACCTATTTCCACTTAAACTTTCCTTTCCCATGAAGATTTGCTCTAGTCAGACACAATACAGGTAATCATTAACTTACCACCACAATTGCTAAGTGTATATGGCTTTAAGTCAGTGTTTCCAAACCTTGGCAACTTGAAGATGTCCGGACTTCAACTCCCAGAATTCCCCAGCCANGAAAGTGTCATCTACATATCTAAGCCCTTAGAGAAAGTGGATGTGCACAAAAAATAGTAAGCTTCCTTTTTTCCTGAGTCATTATTATTGATCTCCTATCGCTCTTCTTATTAATCTATATTTGGTAATGGCATGAATAAATATTTATCTTTTCCTCTGTTGCATGGGCTAATGTCATAGTTTATATGAAATAAAATGATGAAAACAACCAAAATCATATTAAGGACACAGATTGAAAAAATGTATGGCTCTTACCAATTGGGTCTTGGACATCCTATTCTCCGTGATGTATCCTTACAGATAAGCAGACAGTTACATGGACATCTAACATACTTTTTCCCTGAAGGAGGGTTTTTGATTGGCTACACAACAAGAAAAAGAAATCACATATATGTTGATTCTCAAAAAAAAAAAAAGAACTTACAATGATTAAAACAGAGCAACGGAAATGATTCAACTTGAGTTCAAAGTGTTATAGCACAACATATTTTTTTCTTTTAATTTAACACCAATTACTGGTATTGTGTTTAAAATTCAAAGTTACATATAGAAGTGTCAGTCGCTATTACTGTATGTATTTATTAATAAAATGTCTTTCATACTACTATATTTTCCTCTATCATCCCTAGGGAGTATACAAGACTTTCTTTAAATATATCCAAGCATGGTTATCATACAATTAAACAACACATTATATAACATAAACAGAGACAATGCCATAAATTGCAGTTGCTACAAACCAGAATCCTATTGTTGTTTACTTATTTAATTTTATAGATGAAGGTCTCAAGAACCAGAATACCATAAAATAATTATTTTCTTAGTTATTAAAGATTCCTCAGAATCAAATTACATAAATATCTTATTTATTTTATTTATTTATTTGGTCAAGCATGTATTTGATAATATATATAGGTATAAACATGATTTGGATACATGAAATGGATATGAATAAAAAGAAACATTAGGAGAGGGACGGTAGGCACATTGGTGTGCTTATGCACGCTCCTTAGAGACCTCTTAGGAAAGGGGTGAGGTCGACAGTAGGCAGTCTAAGATTAAAGTTTTGGAGGTTTGGGGAAAAAACCAAACCAAACCAAATCAAATTCTTCCAAGAAAAGAGTTCCATAAGTTGGGCTAATTTTGAGAAATGCCCAAACAGAATTTGAAGAATTGGTGAATTGGCTTTTGCCTTTAAAAAAAGCAGAATCGACTGGCCAGACAAATACTGGGAAAACTTAGATCAGAAATGGGGTGAATATAAAATGGGTAAACTGGTAGCTATGTAAACAATCATATGTAAATTCTTTCAAAATTCTAAATAATGTTTTATGCAAAAGAGTTAAAAAACAATAGTTTGACTTGTTTTTGGCTGTTAACATCCAAAAAATTATTGTGTGTTTCTATCTGGTTTCCATCAATCCTATCTGTTTATTATCATCTGTATCTTATTTTTTCTTGCTAAAGAGATTCATGTGTAATGTAATAATATCTTAGAACAATGAAATATGGTATAATAAACAAAATATTTTTGCAATCAAAAATCAAGAAAGATTCAAGTGACATATTTTATGTTGACTTTCTAATGATTTCAATTATTTTCTAATCCAATAATATAAGTATTGTTTGATAATTAACAGAATGGTATAAATGTTTTTAATGCAATTATGATAAGAAAAAGAAAACATTTGCAACAGAGGAAAAATAGTTATTCTGCTAAAAGAAGTTTGAACAAACTATTTATGTGGATATGTGTGCATGTACATACACATGTAGAAACACATATACAGAGAGAGACTCAAAGACTAACCAGTTATTTAGGCTAGCCAGCTTAGAACATAACCATAACAAATAAACACTGGATTACAACAGGGCTATTTGCATTATTATTGATCATACTATTTGCCATTTCTGAAACAACTGTCTGACTCAGAACGTAAATTCTTGTGCAGCAACTGAAGCTAATTATTACTCCTCTTCCTGAATCATACTGAAAACATTCTCTTTTAGGAACAATCTATCCAACAACTACTCCTTTTGATTTCTTCCATGTTCCTCCAAATTCATGTAACACTCCCAAATGAAGAAAATTCCCCTTTTCCCTTAGCTAAATTCATCTATACAATATAGAAGAAGATTGATGAAAGCAACACATCCTTTTCTGTCCCTATCTTCTTGTAAGGACCTGGTGAGCTCATTGTTCCTGCAATCTGGGGAGCCTCCTATCATAAGAGTTCCATCTCTTTTTCTGTTCCATCTTCTCAGAGAACAAGGAGTTTTAATTACGGTAGGTGTGTTTTCTGGTAGTTATACAATACAATAGCAGAGTTGGAAGGGACCTTGGAGGTCTTCTAGTCCAACCGCCTGCCTAGGAAGTGTAGAAGGTTGGGCTAGAAGACCTCCAAGGTCCCTTCCAACTCTGCTATTGTATTGTATACTACCGGACAACACACCTACCATAATTAAAACTCCTTGTTCTCCGAGAAGATGGAACAGAAAAAGAGATGGAACTCAAGACCTGATCAGATCACTGAACCACAAACATCAGAAGACAAGGGGATCAGGGAGAAATGATGAAAACACTACCTTGTTTTGTACATATGTTGTAATATTCCACATATATAGGAAAGTGGCTGAGCTTCTTGTACTACTTTTATGGTGCAACAAAAATGCTAGATCTTTCAAACTAATCTTACAAACATAGTTCCTATGAAATCAATGGAAAATCAAACTACGATTTGATTTACATCCCTTGACAGAACTCTCTCTCTCACAGACATTACTAATCGCTGAAATATACCTAACATCAGCCGTAAGAACAAAAGCAAATCCTACTATTCCAAGCCCAAACAATACTGAAGCTACTGTTTCCTACTAAAAATATAACTATGGCTGTCCTCACACAAGTGATTCTTGTAATGGCATGTACAGGTGAAACTCGAAAAATTAGAATATCGTGCAAAAATTCATTTATTTCAGTAATGCAACTTAAAAGGTGAAACTAATATATGAGATAGANCTAGCAGTTTGAAAACATGTAAAAATGCAAGTAGAAAAATAGGAACCACCTTTGGTGGGAAGATAACAGCTTTTCGTGCGCCTCTGGCGTTTAGTCATGCCGGCCACATGACCACATAAACTTTTTCGGACAGCGCTGGCTCTTCGGCTTTGAAACTGAGATGAGCACTACCCCCTAGAGTTGTGAACAACTAGCACATATGTGCGAGGGGAACCTTTGCCTTTACCTTAATATGGAGGAAACCACTTAAGAGCAATACACCAAATTCATGCTGTGAGCCAATCTCATCTTCTTTATAAAGGGGCACTGACTAGAGAAGGGAATAGATGTGAGTGTACTATACTAGCCCTTATACCCTTCTATTCCCTATCACTTTTACATACGATCACCAAGTATGATCAATTACTACAGTACCAGCAGCAGAGGACAATCTTTAAAGAAAGAAAACAGACTCCTTTGTACTCTAAGGCAGGGGTCACCAACCTTTCGGACCACAGGGACCACTAAATTCATAATTTTAAATCCCGCGGAATAGAAATATCTTTGAAAAAAGATAAACAGTGTTTAGTGCAATATAAAAAATGCAAATAATTTTTCTGCAGAACACCAAAATTTTCTCTCGTACCACCAGTTGGTGATCACTGCCCAAAGGAGTTTTAGGGGCCTATGGGGAGTTTTGCCTTGGGGACCCCAGATCCCAGGAACCCCCCACCTAATTGAGCATTGCAATAACACTGAAACGGTCTGGTTTAGAAAGCCGCTTACTACAAATACTCCCACGTTAAAAGGCACGCCCCCAACCGTGTGAAGGCTTTCAAACACCCTCTTAATCTTCTCCAGCCCCCGGGATTCAGCTTTTCTGCTTCTTACCGTGCGGGTCGCAAAGCAAGCAACCCCCTCCCCGCACAAACACACACCCTCCACCCGCTCTCTTCTGTGGTATCTCGCCAGAAGCCGGGTGGGGGGGAAAGGGGGGGGACGTATTATTTACGCACACATACGCCAATTCTTGGCCACTGCGTACCTGTCCTTGCTTTCTCAAGAGAAGCCCCTGATTCAGCAGAATTGGGGAGGGGGAGGGGGAAGCTAGGCAAACGGGAAGAGGCTCGGGAGCATCAGCCTTGCCTCAAGGACACCGGAGTCCTGTCCGCAGCAAAGGCGTCCCCGCCCCCTTTCAAGCCAATGCACCCCCCCAGCTCCGATCCCCAATTCTTCCCCCGCCATCAACAAAGCAGGCTGGGATGCTGGGGGAGGGCGAAGAGAGACGCACGCGCACCCCCCTGCCCCCCAAATTCACTATCCAGCCGTCCTAAGCCGGGAAGTGACACGAAACCCCCCTGGAGACGGTTCGTTTCCCCATCCCCGAAACAGACCCACCGAATTATTCCCCCTACCCCACCCCAAGCGCGTCTACTAATCTCCCCACCAGCCCATCCACCCCTCCGGGCTTATTCCTCACCCCCCTCGAACTTGGCACCGATGCCGGGAAAGGGAGTTTGTGGCCAACGTGCCGGGCAAGGCAGGAAAAAAACCTGCGGCGAGAATGGAAGGGGATTGGGGGGGGGGGGGAGATAAGCAGGCTTCGCTTTACCTCTCGGGCTGCTGTCCGGGAAATACGGCGGGGCCGTCGGAGTCACATTGCCCGAGCCGGGCGCTGACAGCAGCGGGGACCGTTCGTCCATCCCGTCAGCAGCCATGAAACCTCGCACTAAACGGGGGGAGCCAAGGGAAGAAGAGGCCGGACTGCCTCTCAGCCCCGCTGCGCCAGTGTGCGCGTCGGCAGGCAGCGGAGAGCGGGGGAGGGAAGGCGCCGGGCGGAGCGCTGTCCAAAGGGGAGGGCTGGGGAAAGGCCTGCTCGCCCGCCTGCCGGCTTGGAAGGTATAAGTTAATCAATGAAAAGGGGGGGGGGCGACTCCGAGGAGGACTCGCTCCCTCCGCGCTTCAATGGCTTGAAGTTGGGAGGGAGAGAGGAGGAGGATTCTGTACGCACTTTAGAGAAATATGGCCCTGGCCCAGTGCCTGCCCGGATCTCCAGCACGCATTTGCTGGATTGCTTTTAATCAGGAAGCACATTATTATGCTTGGTCGCCTAGTCAGCCAGATGTTTTGACAGGGATTTTAATTCACCTATCCAGCTCTCCTCAAGGATCTGGGATAGGCAGATGTTGCTGCTTGGTGGTGTTAAAAATGTGGTCACTGTTCCAAGGACAGGATAGTCCTCTACTTAATAGCAGGACTGAGCCCATAATAATGTATGTTGCTAAGTGAGAAATTTGTTGAGTTTTGCCCCATTTTACGACTTTTCTTGCCACAGTTGTTCAATGAATCACTGCAGTTGTTAAAATAGAATAGAATATAGAATAGAACATAGAATAGAAAAGAAAAGAATAACAGAGTTGGAAGGGACCTTGGAGGTCTTCTAATCCAACCCCCTGCTCAGGCAGGAAACCCTATACCACTTCACACAAATGGTTATCCAATCTCTTCTTTAAAAAATTCAGTGTTGGAGCATCCACAACTTCTGGAGACAAGTTGTTCCCCTGGTTAATTGATCTAACTGTCAGGAAATTTCTTCTTAATTCTAGGTTGCTTCTCTCCTTGATTAGTTTCCACCCATTGCTTCTTGTCTTTCCCTCAGGTGCTTTGGAGAATAGCTTGACTCCCTCTGTTTTGCGGCAACCCCTGATTAGTAACACGGTTATTAGATAAAACCTGGCCTTCCCCATTGACTTTGCTTGTCAGAAGGTCACAAAAAGAGATCACATGACCCCAAGACATTGTAATGATAGTATGAAATAGTTGCCAAGCTTCAGAATTTTGATCACATGTTCATGGGGATGCTGCAAAAATCATAACTCTGAAAAACAGTAATGTCACTTTTTTCAGTGCCGTTCAGTGCACTATTCAAGTTGTGCTCCAGTTTTGTGATTGCACCCAAGGCATCTATTAGTATTGCTATCTTTTCTTTTGCCACAAGTTGTTCTAGTTGTCTTTATGCAATAAATTTTCTCCAGTTCTTTCTCTTCTCTTCTCCTATCTCCATATATCAGTGTTTCTCAACCTTGGCCACTTGAAGATGTCCGGACTTCAACTCCCAGAATTCCCCAGCCAGTATTCGCTGGCTGGGGAATTCTGGGAGTTGAAGTCCGGACATCTTCAAGTGGCCAAGGTTGAGAAACATTGCCATATACAGTACTAAAATACTAAAATTCACACTTTTTGTTTTGCTTAATAATAGTTGTCAAGTTTGGATGTTGTGTGGCAGGTATTTGCTTGGGTTTGATTTTCTTTTAAATTTTAACGTCCCATAACACTTTAGCTACTTCATTTTTTTAATTACTTTGTCTCTTCTGTGGTTCCACCAGTACTTGGCTTGAAGACAAATGGCATTTCATGTAAATCTTCCAATGAGCCAATGTTGCTACTTTGTCATGTAGTTGTTTATAGTCAGTCCCTGCAATCTTGCAGCAGCTAATTAGATGGTCCACTATTTCTTCAACTTCTTTGCAGAAGCAACATTTGCTTTCTGTTGCTGTCTTCTCTGTTCTGGTTTTGTATGCAATTGTTCTTAAGGCTTGGTCTTGTGCAGCCATAATTAACCCCTCTACTTATTTTTTGCAACTTTCCTACTCTTAGCCATTGTCAGGTCTTGTTATTATCTGCTTAGCCTGCTACTTTTTATGCACTGGCCATATAATTATATAGCTTACAATGGCTTTTTTCTTCTTCTTTAACTGTCTGGTGTAGTTGCTACATTGCACACCCACCTATTTTGAATAGGTGAATAATCTTAATGTTAACCTCTCCCAGTCTATCACTATTGACCAACAACTGTGTCACTGACCTTTGCACAAAGGTGTCATTGATCTTTCCATAAAGCTTCTGATATTTCTACTGACTCCTGTTATTTCTAGGCACTTGATTATCCAAGAGTCAAATGCCTTCTGGTAATCCATTCAAACTACATTATATTTAAGTTGATCTTCCTTCTCCTGCAGTTTTCCAAAATGATCTTTTGTTCCTCTGCTGTTTGAGATATTTCCTTTCTGTTCAGGTGGACAGAGTTTGTTTTCAACTAGATGCTGTGGGACTGCATCAGATACACACTAATTAGCAATTTGAAAGTTGTTGGTAAGCAGATTATTATTATGGGTTGGTTACACAGTCAGCCAGATGTGTAGAGAGGATTTGGCATTTTTATTCATTTCTTTTCTATTGTGCTTCCTCCAAGTCCGACCACATCCACCATCCAGACTATCCAGTCCACTATAAACCAACCACAGAAGTTGAGGAGGCACATAGTGCTAAACTAAATATATGGACCATTGTTATGGGGTTGTACAATCAAGGCCATTGTTTTTAATTGCATTTGAATGAAACTGATGGGCTGCCTGAAAAAAGAAAGCAAGGCCATGGCACACACTTGAAAGTAAATCAGGAAGACTGTAATTGTGGGGGTCTGTCTGGCAAGAACAAATGATGCTTATCAACAGGAAATATGCATATGTAAAGCTTGTAGCAATTATGGGTAGTTAGACAACTTGCAGACCTCAGCTAAAAGTTAGGGCTGGCCTGCAGCAAATGAAATGTGTATTAGATAACTCCTGGAACATTAAGAGCCGAGGTAGCGCAGTGGTTAGGGTGCAGTACTGCAGGCCAGTTCAGCTGACTGTGATCTGCAGTTCAGCGGTTCAAATCTCACCGGCTCAAGGTCGACTCAGCCTTCCATCCTTCCGAGGTGGGTGAAATGAGGACCCAGACTGTGGGGGCAAGTTGCTGACTCAATTTGCTAAAAAATTTGTAAACCACTTAAAGAGGGCTGAAAGCCCTATTAAGCGGTATAGAAGTCAAATAAATAAATAAATAAATAAATAAATAAATAAATAAATAAATAAATAAATAAATAAATTGATTAATTAACCAAGGCTTAGAAATAGGGACAGCTAGAGACCAATAGAACAAATTGTAGAATTATTACTAAAATGTTTATTAGATGATATTTCTTGTTATCTCACCTTGTCCTGCCTTCTCCTTTAGTGAAAATATATAAAGCTCACTTAATCCTTTGTTCTTGGTTCTTGGCCTTTTGACCAGGAACCCTTTTCCTTGAAGTACTAAAATAAAAAAACAATTAGAAAACCTGCACCTCGTGTCTGGCGTCCATCATTGTCTTTGGCACCAGGCTTTGACCCAAATTGGAGACAACAAAACTGCTCATATAATTAATTAATTTAATAACATCTGCAAATTAAATGCAATCAGGTCAGGATTTGGTGGGGGGAACGGACATAATCCATATACACCCCACCTAAAATATAGAACCTTTTTCCATCGCTCTACTTTGTGAACAATAAAAACCCACAATCTTGTGTCAGCTCCCCCCTCCTCCATGGCTTTCAGTATGGCTTGCAGCTGGGATAGTATCCCCATTTCCTATACAGAGATGGCTTCCCTGTCCACCTTCTCAACATCACCAGCAAGAAGACCATCCTCAATCCCAGCACTGGGGTGGTTTAGACAAATTGATAGGCTTAACATGTTAGAATTCTCCCCTACTTTGGTCTTCCACCTCTCCCAATCTGTGGAGCAACCCCTTGGATAGTTAGGGTTGGCCAGTGAAGGGAGAAAGGAGGAATTTGAAAGGTCCCTGAACTACTCCCCAGTTTAGAGACCTGGATCGGCCTGAATAACTGATGGCCCTGGCCACAAGTATTAGAGATTTTATAAGCTGATTTTCTCCCTGCTGCTAAACAGTGCAACCCCATAGGGTTCATTTTTTGTTCCAGCAATTTTTGGGAATGATTTTAGTGCTCTTATTAGGAAACGTTTAACCCATTTTCAGAAGCGGCTTGTACAATAACTGGCAAGTGTGATTGAGGAATTGCATCTTGGAGTGGTAGGGCTATTTTTTTCTCCCCCACTTCACACTACACAGCTGCTCAATGATTGCTTCGGATCAACTAGGGTGCTTTCTGATCCAAGTCTTCAAGCTAGTGGTGAACTGGAGATTTGTCTTGTACAGAAAGAGCCTGTTTTGGAAAAACAGGTTGTCCTGCTGCCCAAAGCAGAATAGATTGAAGGGAGTAACTGCTAAAAGAACTGAACAGTCATAGGATATAACAAACATGCAAATGTTGATCAAAATAATGTTTTCTCTTAGTAGAAACCAAGATGTGCAAAGTTGATTAAAAAAAACTTGGCATGCAAGCATCTGAGGGTTTTTTTCTCCTAAGTCCACACAAACCTTTGCAGCAAGCAGAAATTTCAACATACTTCATGATGGCACGATGCAAGCATCATCCCTTATGTTCTTGTGCATCATGATACAACATAAATGTAAAAATGTGGCATTTATGTCATGACACTGCAGTGCATATTTTGACATTTCCCTCGCACCTCTTTCTATCAATGTCAGTCCATTGAAATTATGAATACATAGGTTGCAGAGTTTTACTATCTCTATTGGTTGTAAAGAAGTCCAGATCAAGTAATGTTAAAAGCAGTGGTGAGATTCCAATGATTTAACAATGGGTTCTCTCCCCTAATGATTTCTTCCAACAACCAGTTCACCAAACTGCTCAGAAAGTTAACATTCGGTTCTCCCGAAGCGGTGCGATCTGGCTGAATCTCACCATTGGTTAAAAGGGTATGTGTTCTATCTGTTAAAACAATAAACCAGTCAAAGTTTGGCAATGTGACCAGTTTGGAAGGAGTGAAAACTTTTGCAGTAGATTTCTGCATAAAGGATTGCATGCCTTTGAGCAGTGTTTCTCAACCTTGGCGACTTTAAGTC